CGTCTATTTTGTCTGATATGAGAATTGCTACTCCAGCTTTCTTTTGATTTCCATTTGCATGGAATATCTTTTTCCATCTCCTCACTTTCAGTCTGTATGTGTCCCTAGGTCTGTAGTGGGTCTCCTGTAGACAGCATATATATGGGTCTTGTTTTTGTATCCACTCAACCAGTCTATGTCTTTTGGTTGGAGCCTTTTATCCATTTACATTTAAGGTAATTATCTATATGTATATCCCTATTACCAGTTTCTTAACTGTAGGTCTTTTCCGTCTCTTGTGTTTCTTGCCTAGAGAAATTCCCTTAGCATTTGCTGTAAAGCTGGTTTGGCGGTGCTGAATTCTCTTAGCTTTTGCATGTCTGTAAAGCTTTTAATTTCTCTGTCAAATCTGAATGAGATCCTTGCTGGGTAGAGTAATCTTGGTTGTAGATTTTTCTCCTTCATCACCTTAAATATGTCCTGCCAGTCCCTTCTGGCTTGCAGAGTTTCTGCTGAAAGGTCAGCTGTTAACCTTATGGAGATTTCTTTATGTGTTATTTGTTGTTTTTCCCTTGCTGCTTTTAATATTTTTTCTTTGTATTTAATTTTTGATACTGTGATTAATATGTGTCTTGGCATGCTTCTCCTTGGATTTATCCTGTATGGGACTCTCTGTGCTTCCTGGACTTGATTAACTATTTCCTTTCCCATATTAGGGAAGTTTTCAACTATAATCTCTTCAAATATTTACTCAGTCCCTTTCTTTTTCTCTTCTTCTTCTGGGACCCCTATAATTTGAATGTTGTTGTGTTTAATATTGTCCCAGAAGTCTCTGAGACTGTCCTCAATTCTTTTCATTCTTTATTCTGCTCTGCAGTAGTTATTTCCACTATTGTATCTTCCAGGTCACTTATCCATTCTTCTGCCTCAGATATTCTGCTATTGATTCCTTCTAGAGAATTTTAAATTTCATTTAATGTGTTGCTCATCACTGTTTGTTTGCTCTTTAGTTCTTCTAGGTCCTTATTAAACTTTTCTTCTATTTTCTGCATTCTATTTCCAAGATATTGGATCATCTTTACTATCATTATTCTGAATTCTTTTTCAAGTAGACTGACTATTTCTTCTTCATTTGTTAGGCCTGGTGGGTTTTGGCCTTGCTCCTTCATTTGCCATGTGATTTTCTGTCTTCTTATTTTGCTTAACTTACTGTGTTTGGGGTCTCCTTTTCGCAGGCTGCAGGATCGTAGTTTCCATTATTTTTGGTGTCTGTCCCTAGTGGCTAAGGTTGGTTCAGTGGGTTGTGTAGGCTTCCTGGTCGAGGGGACTAGTGCCTGTGTTCTGGTGGGTGAGGTTGGATCTTGTCTTTCTGGTGGGCAGGTCCACATCTGGTGGTATGTTTTGGGGTGTCTGTGGCCTTATTGTGATTTTAGGCAGCCTCTGTGCTAATGGATGGGGTTGTGTTCCTGTCTTGCTCGTTGTTTGGCATATGGTGTCCAGCACTGTAACTTGATGGTCGTTGAGTGGAATTGGGTCTTGGCAACTCCAACTCTCAACTCCAAGGTCGTTGAGATGGAGATGTCTGGGAGATTTTTGCCATTTGATGTTACGTGGATCTGGTAGGTCTCTTGTGGATCAGTTTCCTGAACTTGGCTCTCCCACCTCAGTGGCACAGCCCTGATGCCTGGCTGGAGCACCAAGAGCCTGTCCTCCACATGGCTCAGAATAAAAGGGAGGAAAAGGGCTTCCTTGGTGGTGCAGTGGTTGAGTGTCCACCTGCCAATAGAGGGGACACAGGTTCGTGCCCCAGTCCGGGAAGATCCCACATGCCGTGGAGTGGCTGGGCCCGTGAGCCATGGCCACTGAACCTGTGTGTCCGGAGCCTGTGCTCCACAACAGGAGAGGCCACAACAGTGAGAGGCCCACGTACCACACACACACACAAAAACAAAACAAAACAAACAAACAGAAAAAACGGAGGAAAAAAGAAAGAAGATAAAATAAGTTGTTAAAATAAAAAATAATTTTTAAGAAAAAATATTTTGTAAGTAATAAAAAACAAACAAAAAAAACGGACAGACAGAACCCTATGACAAATGTTAAAAGCAAAGCTATACAGATAAAATCACACAACGAAGCATACACATACACACTCACAAAAAGAGGAAAAGGGGAAAAAATCAGAAATCTTGCTCTCAAAGTCCACCTCCTCAATTTGGGATGTTTCGTTGTGTATTCAGGTATTCCATAGATGCAGGACATATTAGGTTGATTGTGGAGATTTAATCCGCTGCTCCTGAGGCTGCTGGGAGAGTTTCCCTTTCTCTTCTTTGTTCCCACAGCTCCTGGGATTCAGCTTTGGATTTGGCCCTCGTCTCTGCATGTAGGTCGCTTGAGGGCGTCTGTTCTTCTCTCAGACAGGACGGGGTTAAAGGAGCAGCTGATTCGGGGTCTCTGGCTCACTTAAGCCTGGGGGAGGGAGGGGTACTGATGCCGGGTGAGCCTGCGGCGGCAGAGGCCAGCGTGACGTTGCACCAGCCTGAGGCGCACTGTGCGTTCTCCTGGGGAAGTTGTCTCTGGATCCCGGGACTCTGGCAGTGGCGGGCTGCACAGGCTCCCCGAGAGGGAGGTGTGGACAGTGACCTGTGCTCGCACACAGGCTTCTTGGTGGATGCAGCAGCAGCCTTAGTGTCTCATGCCCGTCTCTGTGGTCCGTGCTGTTAGCCGCGGCTCGTGCCCTTATCTGGAGCTCCTTTAGGCAGTGCTCTTAATCCCCTCTCCTCATGCACCAGGAAACAAAGAGGGAAGTAAACGTCTCTTACCTCTTCGGCAGTTCCAGACCTTTTCCTGGACTCCCTGCCAGCTAGCTGTGGCACACTAACCCTTTCAGGCTGTGTTCACACCGCCAGTCCTCTCCCTGGGATCCAACCTCCAAAGCCCAAGCCTCAACTCCCAGCCCCCTCCCGCCCCGGCAGGTGAGCAGACAAGCCTCTCGGGCTGGTGGGTGTTGGTCAGTACCCATCCTCTGTGCAGAAATCTCTCCGCTTTGCCCTCTGCACCCCTGTTGCTCTGTTCTCCTTCACGGCTCCGAAGCTTTCCCCCTCCGCCACCTGCAGTCTCTGCCCGCAAAGGGGCTTCCTAGTGTGTGGAAACATTTCCTTCTTCACGGCTCCCTCCCTGAGGTACAGGTCCCGTCCCTATTCTTTTGTCTCTGTTTATTCTTTTTTCTTTTGCCCTACCCAGGTATGTGGGGAGTTTCTTGCCTTTTGGGAGGTCTGAGGTCTTCTGCCTGCGTTCAGTAGGTGTTCTGTAGGAGTTGTTCCACAGGTAAATGTATTTCTGGTGTATCTGTGGGGAGGCAGGTGATCTCCACATCTTACTCTTCCACCATCTTGAAGCTCCTCCCCCGAACTATCAATTTCTAATTGAACTTCTTTGTAAAAATAAGTTCTAGTAAATAGTGTTAAAGCCAACTCTACTTTTAAAAAAATATTATAATGCATTTGAAAAGCTTAGACTTGTTTACTGCACATATGGATGGATTTACTCAGCCAGATCATATCCTTTTAGTCAACTCAGGAGAGGAATCGTAGCTTCATAGTAAATAGGTCATGGTAGATATATTTCAGTGTCACCATTGGAGGATGATAATCTTCAGTTTGACTGAATAAAACATAATTTCATATGAAAATATTTTACCCCCTAACTGGACAATAGAATCATAGTCTAAAGAAAGACTTTATGTAGCTAAAGAAAAACTATAATCAGTATAACTATTTGGAGAAACTGCTTAGCATTCTTAGTATAATGCAGCTTTATTATTATACCTCTTACTGGTACATTATATTGATTTGTGTTGGAATTAACAGAAGAGCTCCAAAATCTTCTTTTAGGGAAAAGCTGTTACTGGTCCGGAGAAGATGCATCACAGGATCATCAGTACCACAACTGAGGGAAGATATGGCAGAATTAAATGGTCAGCGTGTGATATCATTAAACCTGTTTGAGTTATTTCTGATTTTATGGCTTCCTGTTGACAATGAGAATGAAATATTGAAATTAACAACTGTCTTTTAATGTAGGATGAACAATAAAAAATGGAACAAGTTCTGAAGAGAGAAGACAAAGGAATTAAAAAATAAGAGGTGAGGTAGCCAAGAGTATTTTAAGACAAAAAAGCATTAAACATAAAATTAAAAAATTAATAAACTGGACTCATTCTATTAAGAAATTCTGTTCATACATAGACATCACTTTAAAGTGCAAAAACAAGCCACATACAGAGAGAAAATACTTTTAAAACAGATTTGACAAAATACTTTTACCCAAGTACTCTACAAATCAATACTAAAATATTACAAACTCAATTAAAAATGAACAAAATAATTGAACAGCCACTTCTAAAAGGTTATCTAGCTTATCAATAAATGTACATAATGGTCCCTAGTGTTATTACTCATCAGGTAAAAGCCAAATTAAAACAATGCTCAGCTACTACTACTTTCCCACAAGAATGATCAAAATTAAATAGTCTGAAAATAGCAAGTGTTGTCAAAGATTTAGAGCAAGTGGAGCTCTCTTACATTGTTGGTGGGACTGTAAACCTGAAAATCATTTTGGAAAACTATTGATACGATCTGAAAAAACTGCTGTCAAAATCTAGAAGGATGGTTATCTTTAGAGAGTGATGACAAAAAAAAAAAAGGAGCAGTAGAGACACTTTAGGCATTAGGGCATGCTTAGCATTGGTAGTGTATGCCTATTTATAAGAATTCATCAAATTTTACACTGAAATTTATATATAATTCATTATTATGCTTTAAAAAAACCCAGTGCAAATGAAATGATGGTTATATGTTCCTCTAAATTCAGAAAGCCATTTGAGCTTATTCCTCCTTTAAATCTTTATTGTTTAGATGCCATCACAGAGTTACCCATGCCTGTCAGAAGTGTGATGCTTAATTTTAAAGACCTTAGAATTCATTCATCCTTTCAACACATATTTGTTGTGTTCTTATTACATGGTAGCTATTAAGAGAGGTAAATAAATCCAGTTGGGAGAATGCATCATTTGAAAATTACTTAAAAGACTAAAAGAACCTGAACAATACATTTGAGGTTACATAAAGTTCACACGAACTTAAGGACTAGAGCCAAATGTTAAACGCAAAACTAGATAAATTTAACCAGGTTTGGAATAAGCTTCAGCTATAAGTGACTAACTTCTTAGAGTCAGCTGAGGGACTTTTGTTCTCAATTGCCTTTTTCCACCCCTTATCTTTTAACATAACATCTACAATTTGGAGATGCTGAAGACATTTCCAATGTTAATGGTATCTTATTGAATTTGATAGAGCCCTTGGATTTGTATTATTTTTTTAACATCAGAAACCTTAACAAACATTTAATATCTTAGTGAGACTAGTATGGTGTTTCCTGAGAATAAGGGGACCAAAAAAATAAATAAATAAAGCACAGAAAAAGCAAAGGGAATAAAAGGGAAAACTGTTTTCATAAAAGTAAAGATAGAAGAAGAAGGAAAAGGAAGAGATTAACTAAGTAACTATAGACTGAGTGAAAATTGATGGGTGCCAGAGAGAAATTTTATGTACATCACAATTTTACCTAGCCACCATAGCCTAATGGCTAATTGGAGGGCAGAGGCTAGATGATATGTAAAAAGAGATAGTAACGTATATGTTAGAATGGCTAAAATTTAAAGTACTAAAAACAATTAATGCTGGCTTGATTGTGGAGCAACAGAAACTATCATTCATTGCTGATGGGAATGAAAAATGGTACAGCAACTTTGGAAGACAGTCTGGCAGTTTTTCACAAAGCTAAAAATGGCCTTATGGAAAAGATTCAGTAATCATTTTCCCTGGTATTTACCCAAATGGCTTGAAAATTTATGTCCACACAAAGACCTGAACAGAGATGTTTATAGAAGTTTTATTCCTATTTGCCAAAACTTGGAAGTAATCAAGATGTGCTTCAAAAGGTGAATGGATAAATAAACTGTGGTACATCCAGACAATGGAATATTATTCAGGGATAAAAAGAAATGAGCTATCAAGCCACAGAAGGATAAGGAGGAATCATAAAGGCTTATTGCTAAGTGAAAGAAGTCAATGTGAAAAGGCAAAATACTGTATGATTCCACTATGACATTCTGGAAAAGAAAAAACTATGGAGACAGTCAGAAGATTAGTATTTGCAGGAGTTTGGAAGGAGGGAGGGAAGAATAGAGGGGGCAAAGGGGATTTTTAGGGCAGTGAAACTATTCTGTATGGTACTGTAATAGAGGTTAATGACATTATGCATTTGTCAAAACCCACAGAACAGTACAACACAGAGTGAACACTAATCTAAACTACAGGTTTTAATTTTTAATGTATTAATATTGGTGTGTATGTGTGTGTAAGAGGGGTGACATATAGGAATTCTGTATTTCCTGCTCAATTAATCTGAAAACTTAAAACTCTTCTTCAAATAAAGTTTATTAATTAAAAAAAGGATATTGTATAAGATAGATATATGGATGAATAAACAGGAGGAAATGGTGAATGTAAAGACAGGGAGGAATATGTACACTTTGGAGGCAACTTGGATAGATGACATGCCAGAGAATAGGGTCAGGATTTGAGAAGATAACTTTTAATATGCTTTTAAAGCTACTTTTGAAATAAATTTTTGATTACTGTGATTTGCCATCAGTTTCTGAACAATTTTATCCCATGGTTGTCAAAGCCCATAGAAGGGTACAACACAAAGAATGAAGAGTAAACTATGGATTTTAATTAATAATTATATGTCATTATTGGCTCATCAACATAAAAAGCAATTTTTTTTTTATTTTTTAAAGTAGCATGAAAAGTAAAAAGTATGTCAGTTATGATGGTCAATGTTCTAAAACTAAATAAAAAGTAGATTTATTTTTCTAAAGTTCCTTACTAGTGTTCACAACAGTCAAACTGGTTCTTTCTAGCTCTCAAATGTTTCTGTTTTCTTATTTCTGAAATAAATAAATATTCAGTTTTGGGACAGAGGAAAATATGCTTTAAAAGGATATTATCGATTACAGAACTTTGACCCATTTCTTTGGTTTAATTTTCTTAAGTGAAGTATCTAAAGAAAACCAGAGATGATGAAATATTTAATTGAAAACCACAACACGATCAAACCTGATTGGTATGCCTGGCTATGAAGAATAGTATTTGGGGTCTGATATGTCTAGACTTTGAAAATACAGCATTCCTTCTTATAAAGTGGTACAATAACTTTTTTCACCTGCTTTCTTGAGGTATAATTGACAAATATAATTGTGTATATTTAAAGTGTGCCAAGTGATGATTTAATAAAGTGATGCAATAACTTTTAAGAGACACCCTAACTAGGTAACAAAGTGATCCCAAATATTTTAATGAGTGTGAGGCCTTCTCCCTGTGTCAGGGGACAAAGAATTAATGAGTTATTCCAAGTATATATATAATGTAAACATGACATAAAAGGAAGGTATACACATGATTTATCACATGCTCTGACCAGGGTATATAAGCATCCTTCTACACATGCTGACATTCATACTCAGGTTCTTGCTTTGAATAGCAAACCAAACTCACCACCCCGACACCAGGAGCCATTACAGCAACTATTACGGAAGCCTGGGCTATGGCTATAGAGGCTTTGGTGGTCTGGGCTATGGCTACGGTTGTGGATGTGGCAGCTTCCGCAGACTGGGCTATGGCTGTGGCTTCAGAGGCTATGGATATGGCTCTGGTTATGGAAGTTTTGGATATGGCTGCCATCACTACCCATCATTCTGTGGAAGATAGATATGGATTTTCTAGCTTCCACTGAAATCTTACCCTAGGAGCCCTATATCTGAAATTACAGGGGGCTTTCCAAATCTGATCTCAAAAATTGGACCACAAAGATCATACTGGAGTTATCTGCACAGAAGTATCTAGCTTCTCAGAATTTTGGACAATTTTTCAATACACTCCTATACCTCCATCATAATCCTAGACTCCTCTAATATTTTTTTTAAAGCTAACTGGATTATCTGTTTACCTTTCAGTAAAACATTAAATTTGAAAACAAAATATGTTTTTTGTCTTGTTCATGAAACTCAATTATATGGAAGTGATGATGGTTCCATTCTACTCAATTGTCAGTAAGGGATGGTATCTCCTTGGCTTAGAATCATTTTTTTTTTCCATATACCTCACAAATATCCATACAGATAGAAAGACTGATATAAAGACTAATTCTAGACTAATATGAAAAGATTTTTTTCAAAACTGTTAGTGATTTAATATTTTTACATCTCTTGCTTTTGTTTAGATAGTATTCAGATTTAAGTCAACAACAAAAAGCAATGTCGATTTAACATATCTATATATTTATTTATCAAATACATGTGTTTTATTTAACTTAACTCACATTTCTCAATTCAGTCCAAATGCATAATGAATCCTTCCATTTATTCAAAATCTATTTGGCTTTTTATTGTAAATGCAAATACATGGTAATAGATCAAACCATCACTAGGCTATGAAAGTAAACCACCTTTCCAAATTTTTTATATTTAGTATAATCCACCCTGTGTATCATAGTCTTCTACACATTATTTTCTTTGATATTTTCATCAAGCAGCTGATCTATAAGTAAATAATGAATTAGGGTAACGTTTTTCATATGAGGTCATTTAACTCAAAACATTTTAACTAAGACTTTTCTGTTAGCTTTCCTATATTCTTACTGAATCTTCATGACTTGACATGGTATTCTTCTTTACTACCATCATTATATTGGCCATTTTTTCAACCTAAGAAGGGAAAAAAAACAACAAGACATAATCGTGAACTAATTTATTTTTTAGCTTAAGCTGATAACCAGCACAGCTATATCCTAAGAGCTTTCCTATAAACCTGAATTTCAGTTAAATCTGAATTTCCCCTTTTAAAAATGGACAGGAGGGGACATTTCATTGGTGAAATAAGAAAAATATGTAAGCAAATACCAATTTTTTCCTAAAATCAAATGATATATTCAGGTAATAATATAAAATTGAGATTTTTTTATTGAGGTATACTTGACATATAACATTCTATCAGTTTCAGGTATACAACATAATGATTCAATATTTGTATACAATATTTGTATACACCACAATAATTCTAGTTAGCATCCATCACCACACACAGTTTCATTTTTTTCCTGTGATAAGAACTTTTAACATTACTCTCTTAGTAACTTTCAAATATGCAATATAGTATTATTAACTATAGTGACTGTGCTGTACATTACATCACCGTGATTTACTTAGTTTGTAACTAAAAGTTTGCAGCTTTTGACCTCCTTCACCCATTTTGCCCACTCCCAACCCCCTCACTTCTGGCAGCCACCAATCTATTCTCTGTATCTATGAGGGGATATTTTGTTTAAACTGGTCAAATATATTTGATTCAGTCAGATAGCAGTATCATAAACAAACATTAAATGTCAGCAGTGCTTTGTACCGCATTTCTCAGCTTAAAAAAATCTCAGAAAAGTAATTGGCTTCTATAGAATTATATATTAGCTCTAGTGATAACATCAGGACCAAGGCCAAGATCTTCTGAATCTAGGTGCCAGAATGCAGCTGCCTTCTTCAGTGTATTTTCCCCATTCATACAAGCAAATGGAGTAACTTGAAAGCTTTGCTCAGCTTCCATGAACTTAGCTGAATTTATGGGGGATGTGAAAGGAGATTCACCTTCTTAGATAGAATTACCATTTTTATAACATTTTATTCTTATAGAACATATAAAAAATAAAACTCAATTTCACTGTTAGCTTTATCTAGATTTCACCTATATCTATATCTATTATATTTATACATGTATACCTATATTTATTATACAAGATCAAAGTCTTCATTTGAAAGGTACATACTTAACCTACATAAAGAGAAATTTGCTCAGGCATTAGTTATCACCTATCCTTTCAATCAATTCAGTCTGTGTGTTGTAGATTCTCAGTGTACAGAGCAGGTGAGATAGAGTTGTGTGGCTCCATTTTGCACACTTAATGAGGTAATAGTTCCACAGTCTATGGACATGCCTTATAGGTCTAAAAATAAAAATAGCCATCAACGTCATTAGACTGAGAAACAATCTAGTGTGCATGATACTCCTAGTGAAATACATTATATTTTATTACATCCTATTTTATGATTTAATTAATTATGTCTAAGAAACACATTTTGAATTCATGGTAGAAGTGCCCTTAGCTCCCTAATAAAAGCTACAATTTGGCCAGTGGAAGAATATATTTTCATCATTTAGCACATCAACACAGGATCTGAGCTTCACAATCAACTGATTGTCTTCTTGTAGAAAGCTCCCAAAAAGATTAACAAAGAATTGTGTAAGTCTTTGAGTCCACTGAATTAACAACAACAACAAAAAAAAACCCAAAAAAACTCAAAAGAAATAAACATTTTTCAGTTTTCAAAGATAATTAGTATCCAAAGGATATTACAATTGTTTTATTTTTTAACCCAGAAAAAAAATCAATAAAAAATATTTGGTTCATATATTTCATAGCATTGTTTCACAATTTTTTGTTCTTAATTATATATTTACATAATATTATTTTCTTTGAAAATACACAAATAAGTTATGGTATATTTCATTATTGAGCTTTTTAAAAAATTTGTAAAATCTATTGGATTTTACCTCATGTGAGCATAGCTATTTTCATTGGAAATAAGAACATAAATTAGCCCTCATCACAGACAATCTAGCAAATTTACTTAATCATTCATGGGATTCTTAAACTTGTTAGATTTATTTGTGATCATTTGACTTCAAAATGACTCACTGAGGAAAAAAGATAGTTTTTGCCAACTATTTTCTTTTTCAGAATAAAAAATAAAGATGGAATAACATTTGCTAAAGGAAAAAACAGGATTTAACAGTAGGATTAATTATTCCTTTGAGTTAAATATTCCTTTAAAACCTGAAAGCCATTTGAGTCCATAATTCAACTTAGAGAATTATTACAAGTTGTGTGTCATGCAGAATTTATTTTTTCATTAATTCAACAAATATTTTTTGTTTGGAAAAACAGTAAACAAATCCAGTTAGGGAAATGTATTATCAAAAATGTTATAAAAACACTAACTCTAGAAGATATTTGCGGGGAGTTCCCTGGTGGGCTAGTGGTTAGGATTCTAGGCTTTCACTGCAGGGCCCCGGGTTCAACCTTTAGTCAGGAAACTGAGATCCCACAAGCTGTGCAGCAGGATAAAAAAAAAAATGACATTTGCACTCCCATGTTCACTGCAGCATTATTTACAATAGCCCAGGTGTAGAATCAACCTAAGAGACAAGTGATGGATAAATGGATAAAGAAAATGTGTTACATATATATGTGTGTCCAAGATATGGGCACATCCAGTGGGGCTTAAACTTGGAATGGGTTTACTATCTTCACAGAGTGAACTGAGAAACAGCAGAAGACTGGCCCAGTACTTCATATACCTGATTCCTGTCTCAGTCATTTCACCACTGCACTTTCATTTTTGGAGATTTCAAGGCAAGAGGATTTTAAGAAGCCCTATTAAAAAATATTGTATGATTTTAAGAGCATACAAACATATATATATATATTAAATTTAAAACCTTAATGAATAAGTAACTATGAAAAACATATTTGCTGATTACTTGAGAAAAAATAAGGGTCTGGTATACACAGAATTGGAAAAGAAAAATTTAAGAGTAAAAATATTATGATAAAATTAGAGACGTGAGTAGAGGGACAAAATATTGATTGGAAAAAGTGGGTAAGAACAAAAGACCTAGCTGGTGCAAGCATGTATTGGGAATGAATGTAGAATGAGATTTAAAGAGATGTTTAATAAGAGAATGATATATGGATTACAAAGAAGCATAGAGAAGAGAAGAAAAATGGTAACTGTGTAGCATAGAGTCAAGATCATCTGCATTTTTAGGTCATATTTTGGGTATTGTCCATTCTGGAAAAGTGGGTAATTGTGTAAAGGGAATATTTTTTAATGGTTTTCAGACTGGTTTTGAAAGTGAGTTTGTCTTGTGTGTGTATATATATATATGATATATATGTATATGTATATATATTTTATATGTATATACAAATGGGAAATAAATTTGATATTTATTTGGAGAATTTTATAGATTTAAAAACTTTAATCTTGGGCTTCCCTGGTGGCGCAGTGGTTGAGAGTCCGCCTGCCGATGCAGGGGACACGGGTTCGTGCCCCGGTCCGGGAAGATCCCACATGCCGCGGAGCAGCTGGGCCCGTGAGCCATGGCCGCTGAGCCTGCACGTCCGGAGCCTGTGCTCCGCAACAGGAGAGGCCACAACAGTGAGAGGCCCGCGTACCGCAAAAAAACAAAAAACAAAAAACAAAAAACTTTAATCTTGATCAGCGTATTTAAATCTAGGTGGAATTAATACACAACAATCCAAAGAATGCTATGAAAATGAGAAAATATTTAATGAGAAAACTCCATCAAATATGAATGATGTCATATGCTTAGTAATGAAGAATTCTATTCAGGGAAGTTTTATTTTGTGACTTTGAAGACAGATTTTTTTTTTTCTCATTAAAAAAGACTGTAATGAGTTCAAGGGCCTTTTGAGCAGGCAGCTAACCAAGCTCAAAAATTTTAAAGAGTGTGTGCCTTTCCTTGTGTCAGCAAACAGATGAACAATTTTCCTCAAGTAAATGAATAATCTGGAATGATACAAAAGAATGGCCACATGTTTTACCACATGTTCTGACCAGGGTATATAAGCATCCCTCTACACATGCTGATATTCACACTTAGGTTCTTGCTTTGAACAGCAAACCAAACTCACCACCCCTGACAGCAACTACTGTGGAGGCCTGGGCTGTGGCTACGGAGGCTTCAGTGGTCTGGGCTATGGCTATGGCTGTGGATGTGGCAGCTTCTGCAGGTTGGGCTATGGTTGTGGCTTCGGAGGCTACGGACATGGCTCTGGTTATGGAAGCTTCAGATCTGGCTGCCATTGTGGTCCATTGTGCTATGGAGGTTATGGATTCTCTAGCTTCTACTGAACTATGGCCCTAGTAACCCAATATCTGCTACCATGAGTGGATTTGACACAACATTATTCAGTCAATGAATTGAGATTACCCTAGACCTATTTAGCAAGAGAAACAAAAATTTCAGAGAATTTATTATTTATAAGCATGTCTGTCTTATGTCTTCTGGCATCTGTTAGCTTGGGCACTAACAGATGATGTATGTTGACTACCAATAAATGACCTAATTTGAAATAGAAAATATAGCTCTTTGGGGTTCATTTAACTCAGTTATGTGTACATATCTATATGTATTTTTGTTATTTGTCAATTATAAATACAAGGATTATCTCCTTTAATTTTTTTTATAAAAACAAGTCATGTTAGACACACCTATTTATAGTTGCTAGTCATCCATATTATTAAAACTGTAGTCAGAGCATACTTGCATTTCACAAATACTATAATCCATATTTCTAAATTTTTAGAGAATGTAAGCTCTGTTTTTCTGTGAATCTTTGAATTATATGTTATCTTCCTTTATTCATAATCTGCTTTCATCTAGTTTGTTATGCATGTAAGATAAGACTGACTTAAATTACTTAAAAGTCATTGACAAATTGGATAATAAAAATGTGAACTTTGGACATTCAACTCATCTCATTTATCCTTTTAAGGGAACACTGTCCTTCATCTTCATCATCATTACTACACTGAAGTATTTGTAATCCAGTAACAACAATAAATGAACGGAAATATCATCAAGGAGCAAAACATTGTTTACCTTCAACTGACCAAAATTACCATTCAATAATTTTTTTAAATTGATATAAAGAGGAATTTCAGTCAAACATTATCTCTTCAAAAACAATCATTTTATTGCAGCATAAGAAATAAGGAATAGAATAGGTAAAATACAAGATTTCCTAACTAGTTTTACTAAAACTGAATGATATCTTCAGGTAATGATATAAACAAAAATAATATTTGGTATAAACCGGGCAAATATAACTTTAAAAAAGGACTAAAATTAAATCATAGAGTTAAAAAACTGTAAGAGATGTTAGAACTCTATAATGCTGCCTCATAATCTTGCAGGCAGGGTATCTCAGAATAAATGATTTTCCCTTGAAAATTAGTGGTAAGACTAGGGTCTGAACCCTGTTGTCCTGAGTCCCAGGACAACTATACTATGTTGACTCTCTCTTTATGTATTTTCTCTTTGAAGGTTGTCAAATAGACCATTTAAAATGTTCTGTTCATGGTTACAAGAAGAGCTAAATTATGACAACTGATTTTTGAAGATTGGTCCCTTTACCTTGATTAACACCTGTGCTTCTTTAACATTTTTATTGTTCTGAGATAGAGATTGTACTTATAATTTTCTAGTCTATCTGCTGTTGAATGTAACTAAACAATGAGCAATGTTAGAACTCAAGTCTAAGTAAAAACAAGACACAACAAAACAAAAAAGCCATGACTTCTTATTTTAGTCATTGCTACCTAAAAGTTGTATGTAGCTTCGCAGTGGGATGAACAGAAGAAATAAAGACAAGTTACTCTACTGAAGGATCAGACTATGTACTTTGACCCAGGAGGACAAAATTTCTATTTTCCTTTCATTTGGTTAATAACTCTAGGGACAGTATCCATGGGGCTGACAAGGAGTAAATAATCAATACAATCAAACAATATTATTATTGTTGCTGACATTCTTAGTATAATATAAATTATCATAATTCTGTGCTAAGATTGCATTGATCTATGTCTTAGGTGAGAGAAAATGTTTTGAATTTATAACAAAAGACTTCTTTACTTCCAGGGAAAGTGTGAGAACATTTTTCACTCCATGAACAGAAACTTAGGTCATGAGTTAAAACTTTAAAAAATATAATGACAATCCAAATCTGTTTTTGATCCACTATTGGACAGAAAAATAATAACTCCCCAAAGGAATTTCCAACATGACTTTTTCTCTTGTGCATGTGGAGGAAAAAAATAATTTGTTCCATATTTTTCAAACTGTTTTTTCTTGCTTTTGCAACTAATGGACATTTATGAAATATGCATACCTTTGTCACATGTTTTCTTTTTTGAAAACACATTTAGCATTATTGTTACTGAAGATTTTCATTTGTATCCCATATTCTTTCCATATATAAAGTAGAGACAGTCTTATACATTTAAAAAAATAGCTCTTAATCATGGTCGCATGCTCTGACCGAGTTACTCAAGAAGAATGTGAAATCCTTAACGTTATGTAATTTATTCATATTTGTAAATTATTCATTAAAAATAAAAAGATTCTTATTTTCAATTGGCTGATTTTCTGAAATGAGGAATAAAAATGGAATAAAGTAGGGTTAGAGTAGTATGGAGTTTAAAGCCTTATACTGGATTAAATGCTAGTCTGTAACCAGAAAGCCTGTTGGAACTCATGTCAAACTTAAAATATTTCTAGAATAGCCAGTGAATTGCTCAGGTTATGATATGCATGTTCCTTGTTTTAATATTAAAGTCTTATAATTCTTTAAAAAATAACTGTTGCTATGCTTTATTTAGATACTAGGGTCAGCTTAGTGAACAAACCTGTCAAAAAATATGTCATCCAAATATTACTTATAAATCTCAGCAAAAGCTTAGCAATATGGTTATAGTCATATAAGACATGTTTTGTGAGTCTCAAGTTTCAAGATATGGGCGCACTTACCTAGGGCTTATTCAGGTATGGGATCAACTTTGGGTATTAGTAACTACCTCTCTGGGCTGAGGTGAGGAACTCTGTGAATATCAGGCCAAACATTCCCAAAGAGCGTCTCCTTATTCTCTGTCCATTTTTACAATTATGCTGCATATTTAGATAATTTAAGTATTCCAGATTGTACAAGTCCTTTTAAAATTCAAATGATTTTAGGAGTTGAAATATGTTTTAAACAAGTATCAATATCTTATAGAAAGGTCTAGTTGATATCTTAGAAAAGGCTAGTAACAAAAAATTGGCAAAGACTAGGTAAAGAGAAGACAAAGGCAAATGTAATATATTGCCTATGAGATCTAGATGGAAGGAATGCAGTGTTGATTTGAGTATGTAGGTTGGAGCCCAAACCATTTTTCTCTATTCACACTTTTACCTGGATGCATAATGAATCATGGAGGGAGGAAGTTGGATGATGTTCAAAGTGGAATTCGAAAAAGATGTTAAAGTACATGGATAAATGATGAAGAGTAGAGAAAGAGAGAAAATGTGTGGAGGTGAGTTTAATCTGCATTTGGAGCAGCAGTGAGACTAGAACTTATTCTGGGGAAACTCTTCAGGATATTAAAAAAAGATAACTGTGCGTGAAGGTTTTTCACAAGATGGAGTTTTGATCACTGTGATAGTCTCTCCATTTCTGCTATGTTTTTAAACAAATTCTGCTATGTTTTTAAACAAATTCTGCTATGTTTTTAAACCAAAACAAGTATGCTGGTGTGTAAAACCAAAAATAAATCTACCATAGTACATGGTCAAAGTTCTAAAACTCTAGAAATCAAGTGAGCTTTTGTTGTCGCTTTCTGGTACACACAGCAAGCGAACCAAATCTTTCTGGACTTAGAATATTCTTTTATCTTCTGAAGAAAAGTGCATCCTTTGTGTCTCATGCTGCAAAATATGTGTGCCTTTTGACAAAATTGACCAATTTAAATGTCTTGATATTTCCTAGAATCAGTTATGACAACCCTCAAATGCCTGTGATGAGAAGATAATTAGAAATTCAACAACATTTAATATAACTGATGTTAAGTGACTGGTGATAAAGAATTCAATTTAAGGTTTGGTATGCCTATACTTTAAAGAAAGAGCAATTCATTTTAAGAAAATTAATGCACCTATCTCAGGAACAACCTAACTAGGGAGCCAAGCTGGTTAACACATTCTTAACGAGTATAGTCAGAGCATCATAGATTAAGGAGTTTTCTTAGGCAAGTATAATTCATGAATGAAACCAAAGGATGGGCACCTGTTTTATCACATTCTCTGACTAGGGTATATAAGCCTCCTTGTAAAGATGTCGACATTCACACTCTGTGTCTTGCATGCAACAGCAAACTAACTCACCACCTCTGATACCTTGAGTCATTACAGCAACTATATGGAGGCTTGGGCTTCAGCTATCGAGGCTTTGTTGGCCTGGGCCATGGCCATGGCTGTGGACATGGAAGCTTCTGAAGACTGGGCCATGGCTGTGGCTTCAGAGGCTATGGATATGGCTCTGGTTATGGAAGCTACAGTTACAGCTGCTGTCACCATCCATCGTGCTACGGAGGATATGGATTCCTTAGTTTTTACTAAAGAAAATGGAAATTGGATGCAGAGGGAAAACCTCCAAATTTGTTTGGTCCTATTTTGTGCTTTCATCCCCAAAACATCCACCCTATTTTATCCAGGTTCAATTAATAGTACTTATCAATGGTTACAGTGCCCCTATGAATATTTGGTGACTTTTTACCTCTAAAGCTGCCATCTAAATGCATAGTCAATATGTATCACCATTCTAGTTTGATATCCTCATTTTGGTTTACTCTTCTTGCCACCATTACCATGATGTTCTCTTTCTAGCAAGACCACAGAGAAAACTTGTATTTTGCTTTTGTCTAATAAACTGATACTTTAATAAAATATAAATGTTTCTTTCTGATGCTTTTATTTTTTTAACTCCGTCTTTTGAAACTAATCTAAAAAATTTACTTGTGAAGCAGTGAGAGCTGTGGTTACATGTTATACTATGATGCAAATGTTTCTAGTTCACCACATTATATAAGTTTGAGAACACCTAGGGTGTCAGTTAACACTAAATGAAATTAACGTTTCCCTTTTTACTCACTTAGGATATCAGCCCCCTCAAATGTCCCTCAAATGTTCCTAGAATGACTAAGGATTCTGGGGTTCTCATATTTGCATTCAAGTACATTCTTCTGTGTGACATTGCTGTTAGCTAAATATGTTCTTTTTTTAGGACATTTTTCTTAGAGCAATTTTAGGCTCGCAGCAAAATTGAAAAGTAGGTATTATGATTTCCCGCATACTCTCTGCTCCCACACACTACCAATATCTCCCTAGAGTGGTATACTGATTACAACTGAAGAACCTGCATTGACATATCATAATCACTTAAAGTCCATAGTTTACCTTAGGGTTCATTCTTGGTGTTGTACATTCTATGGGTTTGGACAAATATACAATGGCATGTATCCATCATTATAATATCATACAAAATATTTTCACTCTCCTAAACCTCTTCTATGCTACTCTTATTCATCCTTTCTCCCACTGAATATCTTCTTGGTACCACTGGCCGGACATGCCTTTGCTTTACCTCCAAACTTTCTCTTGGACAAGGGGAGGTGATGGGGAAGTATCACTCATTTCCTGGGAAGGAACTACATTTCTATAATTGGCATCTACTGAAGGACATTGTCCCTTACAAGGCTGATCCACCTAGCACTGCCAGGATGCACTGGGTCATAGAGGTACAGTGTTCTATGGAAAATAGGGGTGGGGGATCTTTTCTCATTTCTTTTGGCATTCTATTAGAGTGTTCTTAATATTCTATACATTTTCTCATGAATGGATGATGGTACAAGTCAAACCTGAGTAACACAAAAGATGCTTTGCTGATAAGAGTTTCTCATGGCTGTCAACTCTGGCTCCATTACTCAGTCAAGGTCAAGAAAATTGGTTGGCTCTTTCTTCTTTCAAGATTTATTCTCTCCCAGAAAATTCCTCAGTTTCTCTAGAGGGACTTTCTTTTTAGCTTATTTCATCATTCACCACTTGGAACAAGCCTTTTGGAACAAAAACAGTGAACACAGATTGACTCCTCCTCTAGAAGGTTTCTTAGCCAACAGGCCAGAGCAGCCTGTTTCACCAGTTTGTCTGACACGACCAGACATGTCTGAATCCACTTAAATTCACACTTGGACCACTATTGCTTATCTCTTGAGAAATTCTTTTTATCCTTTTGTAAATCTAAAGGAAGAGCATTACTGTATGAAAAATTTCCCACTGAAAAAGTGTTACTTTTTAACCTACACTGCAGTTTAGATTTCAAATTAAAAAAACAAACAAACATGAGAAGCAAAAGAAAAATAAATAAATGAAAAAGAAGAATTCATAGATCAAGGGCTCAATGTCTTACATAGAGGATGGCTTACATCATGGGGCTGACATGAAGCTCAGAGTGAACACACACCCAGTGCTACTAGCTGGAAGGCGTCAACTCAAAGAATCTCCAGAAGATCCCTCTGTATGCATTTAACCTCGCTAGTGATATATAAACTTTGTATTTTCATGCATAAAACTTAGTGCGTTCTAAATCCCTTGGATAAAATAGAAGAGTTCTTCAGATAATTATTTTGTCCTTTAACTAAAAAGGGCAATGGAATGATCCTTGTAGATTAATAATGATGATAATTGTAGTCCTTGTTCTGTATGATTCATATCTTTGATTTTCATTTTCTATTGTCTAAAATTTAACAATATGTGAATTGATTTGCATGTACTCTGATAAACATACAAAACATATAAGCCTTCTAGAGGACTATTACTTGGAATATATAGTATGTGATTGCTCAACTTAATTTTCTCCAGACAGATAGTACCTCCTACTAAGTATGACCTTGTATACCATGTATGTTATGTTTAAATATTGGCCTTATTTGAAGGTGTTTCTGATTTTTTGAACTGTCTAGATGCTATTAAATTGGATTTGTGCCCAAACATAATTAGTGATTCTCCTGAGTGTCATATCTTTTAGGAGCATATTGCAAAAGTGACGTTTATGTCCTCGGTTAGCTTGTAAAAGAATTGGAAGCCAGGAACATGAAACATTTTAAAATTGCAGTCACTAAATAGTTCTGTTGAGAGAATTTTGTTTATATCTATTATGTCAGTAATATGTTAGAAAATAAGTAGGGGAGAAATCTCTTGATTAAAAATAAGGTCCTAATTTTGAAGAAAGCATAATAGTGTTAGTTTTATCCCTGGTATGCTAGTAAATAAAGGTTGCATAATTTAGGATCCAAGATTAATGTTAAAGGATAGAGTGGAGGGAGAGTAATTTCTTGAAATGTGGATACAAAAAGTAAAATTTCTTACCCCCACTAAAAAGGGTTTTAGAGACATAACATTCATAATCACAACTCATTACAGCTTAAATTGGTCACAGGAAATCTAATGATAAAAATAAATATAAAAACTCTTTAATCAATGAAAAGTACTCTATTAATATGAAAGGGCAGTTTAGTAAATATTTTATCATATGTATGCATAGAATAAAAAGTCAGTATACCTAGTCCATTTTCCAAGTCTGAATCAAAGTTTATTTTTTTTTAAATATATTTAACAAATATAATTGCTGGTCTCCAAATGAAGGGGCCTAGGCTAAATCTATGAATCCGCCTATAACTATAGCTATGAACTTGGAGATTCTGAGGCTTAATATTGGCATATATTTAGTTATGTTCTTGCCAAACACCTTGCTATGGGCTGTAGAAACCATGTGGATTCTATTGTCCAGTTTGTTGATAATGGCACAGTGATCCATACAGCCACTCTGGTCAGAATTTGGAGAGGCTTCACATGTCTTTTCTCTCATCCATATCCAATTGGTAGCCATTTTGTGCTGCCTACTTAATGTATGTATTTCAGTTTACTAATTTTTTAAAGTCTATAGTTATCGTTTGTCTCTTGGGCTATGGCTATACATTCTCATCTATTCTTTTTTTCTTTTTCTTTTTATAAATTTAATTTTTATTGGAGTATATTTGCTTTACAATGTTGTGTTGGTTTTTGCTGTACAGCAAAGTGAATCAGTTATACGTACATATATCCCCTCTTTTTTAGATTTCCTTCCCATTTAGGTCATCACAGAGCATTGAGTATAGTTCCCTGTGCTATATAGTAGGTTCTCTATAGATAATAGTTATCTATTTTATACATAGTAGTGTATATATGTCAATCCCAATCTCCCAGTTCATCCCACCTCCTTCCCTCCTTGGTAACCATAAGTTTGTTCTCGACACCTGTGTCTCTATTTCTGCTTTGCAAATAAGTTCATCTGTACCATATTTCTAGATTCCACATATAAGCGATATTATATGATATTTGATTTTCTCTGACTTACTTCACTCTGTATGACCAGTCTCTAGGTCTGGTTTCCAGGACTCAAAGCCTCCTTTCTTTTCTTTTTTTTTAAATTTAATTTTATTTATTTATTTTGGCTGCATTGAGTCTTCGTTTCTGCGTGCGGGCTTTTCTCTAGTTGTAGCAAGCAGGAGCTACTCTTCCTTGTGGTGCACGGGTTTCTCATTGTGGTGGCTTCTCTTGTTGCGGAGCATGGGCTCTAGGCCCGCGGGCTTCAGTAGTTGTGGCTCACGGGCTCTAGAGCGCAGGCTCAGTAGTTGTGGCTCACGGGCTTAGTTGCTCTGCGGCATGTGGGATCTTCCTGGACCAGGGCTCGAACCCGTGTCCCCTGCATTGGCAGGTGGATTCTTAACCACTGCACCACCAGGAAAGCCCTCAAAGCCTCCTTTCATCCTTTGGTTCCTTTGTTGAAAGCCGTTTGTTTAAAATGGTTTCTTACCTGTCTTGGGATGACACATTATGCTGCTATTAGGAAGAGAATAATTCAGCTCCCAATGTGCTGATATGGAAAGAATTCAATTAAAAATCAATTTGCAGAAAAACATGGATCATAAATTTGGTCCACCAGATATGAAGCTCAGTAAACACTGGCTGAATGAATATGTGTAATTACCTAAATAATCCATAATCTTTCTCAAATAATTGCCTTTGTCCTAGCTCCTTCCTCACCTCAGATGGTATGGTCTTCTCTTTTCATGATGAGCTCCTACTCATCTTCAAATATCAATCTAATTATCGTCTCTGTTGGGGTGCCTTCTTGTATTCCACAAGGCACCCAACAACATCACGTACAAATGCCCGTTCCTGACTACCTTATTGGCCTCTAGTCCCCTATGTAGCTTTTTCCTCATAACAGTTATCACCAATGGATATTATATATTTGCTTATTTAGTCACATATATGGTTTGTCTTCCTCAGGAAGTGTAAACTCCATATGAGCAGAGACTTAATATGTTTTACTTACTGCTGAATCTTCAGTGTCAAGAGCAATGTTTGATCCATTTAAAGTATTTCATAAAGTATGTACTGAATAAAACTCTGCTAGCACTAATCTATTAATTATTTTTTATGTCACATTCTTCATTAAATTAGAAGTCATTTATTATAATAATATGATTCTATTGATGAAAAAGAAACTTTTATTTTTA